GGTCTCCTCCGGGGCAGGCGGGAATCGAACTCATGCGGAAGCGGCTTTAGCTTCTCAGTGCAGTGCTTTAACCCGCTGCGCCACCAGGGAGGGCCTATTTCCTCGATTTTTATGTTATCCTCCCTTCTACTAATTTTGTGTCTTTTTGTTGTTGTAGGTATAGTATCAAGTTGCTTGCTAGGGATTTTTCTTGTTTCTTCATGTGGGCCTGTATCACAGTTATCTTCTCTCCTTAGAATCCCAGAATCTGGTAACTTGTATCCTCATTTTTCACTAATCTTAAGGTATTTTTTTTTGGATCTGTTTTAATTTCCTCTTTTACCCAGTAACAATTAGGTAGTAGGTTGTTTAGTCTGCATGTAGTCATGGTTTTTCCTGTTGTTTTTCTTTTTTTTTTCCTTTTTCTTGTATTTGATTTCTAACTTTATGGTATTATGGTCAGAGAAAATCTTGGTAAAATTTGGATCTTTGTAGTTTGACAACTGACTTGTAACCCAACATATGGTTTATTCTTGAAAATGTTCCATGTACACTTCACAAAAATGCCTATGTGGCAGTTTGTGGTTAAAGTGTTCTAAAGATGTCTCTTACATCTTTACTGCAACTCCTCATTTAAAACTGTTTTTTCTTTATTTATATTCTGACTTGCTGGTCTGTCCATTGTTGTAGGTGGGGTGTAAGTTCCTCTAGTTTTATTGTGCTGTTATCAATATCTCTTTTAAGTTCAGTTATTAAATGTCTTATGGATATTAGTGCTCCATCACTTGGTGTATATACATTTATGAGCATTAATTCCTGTTTTATTAGGCTCTTCATTATAATATGTTGCCTCTCTTTATCTCTTATTATCTCTTTCATTTGGAAGTCTATTTTTAGCTAATGTAATTAAAACTGTTTCTTATTTTGTTTATTGTCATTTGTTATAGGACTATTTTCCAGATTCCAAGTATCTGTCTTTGTTAGTAATATGGGTTTCTTATAAACAACGAAGATTGAACTTTCTTATGAAACCTAATAAAGCACTGTATATTTAAGGTTACTGTTGAGATAATAAGTGCTGATTGCCATTTTGTTAAATTTGGGGGGGCTGTTATGTCTATTTGTTGAGGTCTTTATGTTTTATGTTACATTTCCATTCTTTTGTGTCACTTCCATTATTTTTTTGTTGTTTAAAAGTTCTGCTGAGGCTAGTTCTTACTAATGGGAAAGTCTGGATTCTGAATCATCCTGACAGACCATGTTTTCATTCTTCAACCCCTCCTCCGTGTTTTATGATCCAGGTATCTGAGTCAGGTACTTCTATATTATTTCTTCTGTTACTTTATAATAACCCCACTAAGGCTTCTTTCATGTGCGGCTTGTTGATAAATGCTTTAGTCTTTTCTTTTCAGTGAAGCTCTCTACTCTTCCTGTCCTGAATGTCAATCTTGTAGGCTCAAGGGTTCAGGGCTGGAAATATTTCTCTTCAAGCATTTTAAATCTGTTTTACCATTCCCTCTGTGCTCGTAATGTTTCTATTGAACGTACGGTGACAGGCCGATGGGTGTTCCTTTATAAGTTATCTTTTTGCTTTGGGTTTTTAGTGTTCTGTCCTTGTCATTAGTTTTTCAACAGCTTTATTATAATGGGTGTCAGTGTGTGTCTGTCTGCTATTATTTTGGTTGGAGTTCTTTGGACCATTTGGATCACAACACCTGTTTTTTTCATGTGAGATGGTTTTCAGCAATATTTCTTTAAATAATTTTTATGCTTTT